CCGCCCTCTGACTTTCTACAGAATTTACAAAACGAAGAAAATTTTAAAAATCAAAAGCAAAAGAAAAACATTTGCATTTCTAAAAGGCAAGCTTTTATAAATATTACCTTAGGAGAAAATAAAATATGTTTGCCTTAATACAGTCCGTAGTAAAATGACCACGGGGACAGGTCTAAATGGTTTATTAAGTAAGAAAAATTGAACATGTGAAAAATTGTTCTCTCCTAGAATATCTCTAACCCACACACGTAATTTATATCATGGCAAAATTCAACACAAAAGATGTATTGTTTCTGGCAAAATAACTTGCAAACATGCTTAATTAGGCTACAAACTAAAAGCATAGCTTAATACTGTTGACAGCCATGAGCCTCAGACAGTGATTTCTGCTATTATTATTTTACTTATGGAAACATTTGAAAAGCAGTAAATATGGAACTAAAGGGCAAGGTTATTAAAGAGATGTAACATTTGAATTTTACGATGCTCATTTCTGTGTCAGCATCACAAACGATAGGCTTCGAACAGCCCCACCTTGTAATGAGAATGAAAGAAATTATTTTTGCAACGAAAGCTTACTCCCATGGATATTTGAAAAAGATGTCAGCATTTAAGTTAATCAATATCTGCTTCCAGTGGGCTTTACTTGGAGAAGTGATGCCTCTTTCTGGGGAGAAGGGATAATTCTTTATGCTGACATTCCATTCCATTTACTGCAAGATGTAAATGAATGCCTCCGGTAAATGGATTCCATGGTCAGTTAATATCCAGGGCAATCTTTGCTCTACTGTAGCCACTTACCAAAGGAGCAGCCAGAGCCTACAAATAAATCGGAAGGAATCTAACCCAGGGCACCATTTTCAAACTGCTAATGCCCTCTTCCAGGGCCGTGACTTCTCATTCTTTGTTCCTACAGATTACAGACTAAGGCTATGGAAAGGGAGGGCCAGGTTACAGGACTGAAGGAGACAGAAGAGGAATTTGGTCCTATTATCTAGATATTCTAGCTATTCCACGTATTTAAATTTCAGTAATCATTTTTAAGCGGTCATTTATGTGTGACAAAACACAAGGTAAAATACAGAGTTAAAGCATTGCATGGTTTAGTGGAAAGAGTTCTGGCCTCTAGTTCTCTCCCTCCCCCTTGCTGTGTAACCTCAAATAAATTTTTTCAGTAACTTTCAGCGCAGGGCTGTAACTTCTCATTTGGTTTTCTTATCTGAAAATGGCAGTTATCATGAAGGGGATCAGGCAAAACTGTGGAGTCTACAAAAATGGTTTTAATAGTCTGACATGGCACAGAAAGTCAGGATATTTCTGAGATCACTTGAAAAATGTATCTAATGGGCATCACCAATCTGAAGAGTTAAAACTTCAGGGGTGGATGTCTGACCTGAGTTCTTCCCGCTTACCATTTCAAGTTCTTATTTTTACCTCTCTAGACAGCCTCAGAGGTGTATAAAATGTGAAAACGTTAATGAGGTATTCTAGTTTATGAGACTCTATTAAACTTTTCACTGATTTATTTCCCATTATAAAATTAATACATGCTTATTGCAGACGTTTCCAACAGCTCAGAATGGTATATAGAAAATGACTTTCCTTCCACTGCTGCTTGCTTTCTCTTTCTCTCACTCACACACCCCTCCCACACACCCCCCAATTTCCATTTCCACTCCCCAGAGATAATCATTATGAAGTTTCTTTCAAAACAAAATACTTTGAAAATGGAAAACACTGAAAGACCATTTATGGATTTTAAAAAAACACGTTAAAGAAAAAAATTCCAAAATTATTTCATGCCAGTCAGGACTGGGGAAATCTCAAATTCCCTCAGAACAACAGAATGACCAACCAGTTGCTGGGTGAGGGAGCTGAAACCATAATCCCGTAAACAAATCGTCCGAAGTGTATGGCTAGAGACAGCCCACGGCAAAGATGGAATAAAGTCTTCAAGGAACACTGCCTCCTCCTCATGGTTAACAACTTGATGACGTTCTTCAACATGTTTTAATGATTATCATACCTTCCTCTTCACAAAGGATTGATTTATTATGGTTTAAATTGAAAGAATACTGGTTTCCCAGTTTTGAATCAGGCTTAGATTACAGAACACATAAAATCAATGACTTTGTTCTAGGCAAGAAAAAACACAGTGTTCATTGAAGTGCAAAAGGAACAGTCCTGGGGAAAAATTCTTCACGCTTGCTCTATGTGCTCACTGTTTGCACCATCCGCCTCCCGGCCTCTCTCTCCTCCCCTCATCGCTGTCATCGGTACCAGCACACCTAAACTTCACAAACAACTTCATGATTACTTTTGCCAGTCCTCAAAATAATGTTGTTGGGTAGCTTTTTCAACATACAATAAAAAAAGCTGAAACTCAGAGCAGTGACGTGATTGGCTCAAGATCTTTCATCTAGTAAAAGGGACACTCACCCAGGTTTATGATGACTTTTTTTTTTTTTCAAGATTTTATGTATTTATTTGAGAGAGAGAGTGCATGCGTGAGTGAGTGAGCAGGGAGGAGAGGGTAGAGGGAGAGGGACAAGCAGACTCCCCTCTGAGCAGGGAGTCCAACGCAGACTTCATCCCAGGACCCTGAAATCATGACCCTAGCTGAAGGCAGACACTTAACCGACTGAGCTGCCCAGGCACCCAGATTTGTAAAGACATCTAAGTGTGTATCTCCAAATCAGATCTCTCCTCTAAAGCTCCAATCTCCGACACATCTGCATTTTCGTTCCAAGTGCAGTTAAATTCAGTTTCCAGGCTGAGCCCATAATATTCTCCCATAAACTTGTTTTCTTTCTCAGTAAATGGCACCATCACCCTTCCAGTTGCTCAAGCCAAGAACCTAGGCAGCATCTCTACCCACCACTCCTTTTCTCAACACACCTATATATATGCTCCGTCACTACATCCTGTACATTTTGCCTCCTGAAAATTTCTCAAATCTGTCCACTTCTCCTTGTCTCCACCATGAACAACACAATCTGAGGCCCTAACATCTCGCTTGGAAATCATTTCCATGTTACACCCTGCCCTTCCCTCACCACCTCCCCTCCACTTGGCAGCCAGACTGATCAGGTAATTCCTCGGCTTAAAATCTTTTGTTGGCTTCCTAGTTCTCTTCAGATAAAGGTGAGAAACCTCAGTGTGTCCTGTAAGAGGTGGTATGGTCTGACCCTGCCAACTGGTAAGATCAGGGAGTGCTTTCCATGGTTTCAGGATATCATGATGTATTTAAAAAAAATAAGTGAATAGTTAAGCTTCTGTGTTTATATAATGCATAACATTTAATGAATTAAGTGCACAGATTAACTATAGAATGAAATTTACACTTGTGGATTTTTTAAAAAAACATTATTAACATATGACTATATGTAGATCTTTGTGACTTCTTTCTTAAATAGACCAAATTCATTTTATAATGCTATAGAAATTAAAATACACGCTCAAATATTTGTAATAAAATATATAATCATTGGTATAATTTATTTCATTGTGTGTGACTTCTGTCTCAAAAGTGGATAGCTGGAGAGATGGAGGCAGGGACTCTTCTCCCATGTTGTAAGGAGTACTCATCTCAGAGTCTAAAAAACAGGGTCAACTTCATGCATTTGTGACCTGTGTAGTCACTCAGGGCCTGCGCTTAGAAGAGCTCAGTTTATTGCCTTATTATATATATTTGGTCTTGAAATTCTTACTAATTTTTGAACAAGGGTACTACATTTTCATTTTGTCCTGGGCACCACAAATCGTTTAGCTCATTCCTGCCAAAAAGAATCTCAATGTGTAAGAGTCGAACTCCCTCATGTTACTCAGCCCAAAGTGTCCACTGTGTTCGATTTCTGTGGTTCTCGATGGAAGGAGGGCTCTGAGGACCACTGGAGTCAGAACTGTCAGTCAGTGGGGGAGGGGTGTCTATACGCTGTACAATCACAGATTTCAGGCCAACCAAACCTGAGCTTCTACTCAATAACTGAGATTTCCAAATACAGTAAAATGTGGTTAACTATTCTTGCAAGTGAATTAGGCCAAACCAACAGACAGTTAATGTGGAACATCCCTTGGCTTCAGCTGCTACTTAAGATAAGTCCTGACCCAGAATATGGGGCTTCACTGGGCAAAGGTGGGTATAATCAACTTTACTGAACAGTCTGGTGATAGCCATATTAGAAATCATTTTATGGTTTATAAAAGTCCATCAACAGTTTTGTACAAAACAAAATAAAAAACTGAACCCCTGGGGGAAATTGTCTGCATGTGCAAAATGCGTCCCCAGGGGGTGCTTCCAGGATCAGAAATTTTCAATGCAAGCAAGCAGTATGATGGTGGGGGAAAAGTGTGCTGTTATAAATGAAAGGACGCTGAGCTTAAAGCACATCATGTGCTCCTTTTATCTTGTAGAAGTTGAAAGGCTGCTAGCATCTGTAAATTACCATTAAAATATATTTATAATTACTACTACTTTGCATGAAAAGTGAATGATCCTTGAAGAGTTGGTTTCCTGCTTACCCTAGTTAACTTAGGTGGATTTAAAAATTAGTATCTAGGTAAAATTTAAATTTTAGGCTGACAATTTCCCCCCAGAGCTCAAAATTTATTTAGAACATGAAAATTTCAACCTTCTTGGGAAAGTTATGCTTCTGAGATTAAAAAAAGTGATAACACAGTTTCTAGAAGCTTCTGTTAGTGATAAAGAGGAAACATTCAGGGGTCATGATGCATATTTCAAGGAGATGAATTTTGGTGTCAGAATTGGGTTCAAGTCTCTACTTTGCTCTTAACTACCTAACAAAGGACTTGATCTTTCTAAGCCTCAGTTTCCAGTTCCTAAATAGGGATGACAACACCACATGAACAAGGCTAACGTGGGGATCAGATTCGATGTGAGTGTTCAGCACAGAGACTAGCACATGATAAGCACTCTACAGATGTAGCTATCATCACTGATGAGCTTCTTCCTCCAGGATTTTAATCTAGTAAGTAGTTACCTTATTGACAGGAATAATGTTTTTGACATTGTAGTAGAAGCCAAAATAAACCATGTTGAAAACTCCGTGACGTCCCAAAGTTGCTGTAAATCCCTTGTTGAGGCCCTGGAGTCCCAAGCCTTCCTTCTTAATGATGTGTCTTGCATAACTCATCGTGGATGGTTGCTGCAGGAGAGAGGAGCAGAGCCAGAGAGACCATCTTTGAGACCGTGAAATAAAGTAAATTACCCTTTGAGCTTCCCTTCAAGCCAGAATTATTAGGGATTTCCCTCCCCCACCCCAACATGAATAATCATGCCTAGATCCATGCTTTTACAATTAGGAAGCTCCATAAGTAAACAAAATTGCATGCATACAAGGCCTTCAAAGGAAGATTGCTGGCAAAAAACCCCCACATCTTTGAATTAGTGAAACTAATGTCATGTAATACCTATCATCACTGCCTACATGTAAATAGCTGCATCCAGTTCTGGATTATCCAAAGTAATGGGGGGGGATTAGCCAACCAGGTAAACTGGTAATCCGTAACTGCATAATCCAAAAGGAATTTATCTTTTGTTCCTGAATCCAGCATATTTACTTTTCTAATTATGATTTTCTGGAGTGAATGTTACAAGTAGTCTTGATCCCACTGCCTCAATAGTTTAAGCTGGCACTAGGTTAGAAATTGGGCACGCACAAAGAGCAGATGTTTGTAGCTTTCCTCAAGAGGGTGGGCAATCAGCGTGTTTATCACTTGTTGTGATAAATGATAAATCAGTGGCACTGGGAGTGGTGGGTTACCTTTAACTTCCTTCCTTCCAGCCCTCCGACTGATGACCCAATCTTGAAATACCCTGACTGCCCTCCAGTCTATCACTACTTTTGGAGCACACTACAGTGCTCACTGGAGTTTGCCCTGAGGTTTATAATTCGTTATGATACAAGAACAATTCACATGGGCTTCAATGAAAAGGTCAGTGATTGCTTCCTTTTGGAGGTATAGTACAAAGGATAGCTCTCCTCGTTAAATTTTGACTGAATAGGAAATAGGGGAAAATGCTCAGTATTTAATTTTTTCCCCCCCATGAAGCAAGCACTGATGTGACGTTTGTTTGATTTTTCACTGGAGCAGGTTGCTGGAGTGGTCCGCAGTCTGATGTGCTCTCTGACTAGAAGTGGTTTTTTATCATGTGCAATTCAGGTTGTATCAGCAGAACAGAGTAGAACAAATCCAATCAAGGCTTTTCATCCAACTTGTATTTTCTAGCTGGGTAATTAACAAGATACATTTATATGAGCTTGTTTATATAGTAAATCCTACAGTTATTGCTGATAAATGTTTTAAAAACTCTTAACTACAATACTACACTCAACTTCATCTTTTCACTTAAGATTAATTACAATATATTGTATTAAGCTTAAGGAAAAAAGACACATGAGAATGTATCTTAAAATAATAAAAAACATTTCGTATAGGAAACCCAAAAATTCTCAGAAGGTTAAAGTTCGCTCCCTGCTCTACAAAATGGGACGTTTTTGTTTGTGTTCTGGCACATTGACTATCAACTCAAATTATTTATTTTGGTTTTCAGAACAGGCTTGAGGACAAGTTGAGCAGAAGTTCATTTCTTTTGGAAAGACTCTGGAAGTGCTGAGCAAACCGCTCGGGCTCTGCTCTCCTGCTCTGAGGAAGGCAGCCAGAGGGCAGATTTTGAACTCAAGTGCCTGGTTGAGCTTGAACTTTAGTTGTGAGTCATGAAGTAAAATCAGAGAGCAGCACAGTAGTTAGAAATAGTGGGTTGTCGTTCTCTGCTTGACTTATTTCACTTAGCGTAATCCTCTTCAGTTCCATCCATGTGGATGCAAATGGTGGGTAGTCATCCTTTCTGATGGCTGAGTCATAGTCCATTGGGTATATGAACTGCATCTTCTTTATATGTGGAACATAAGGAATAGCATGGAGGACCACAGAGGAAGGGAGGGAAAACTGAATGGGAAGAAATCAGAGTGGGAGACAAACCATGAGAGGCTCTGGACTCCAGGAAACAAACTGGAGGGTTACAGAAGGGAGGGGTTGGGGGAGGAGGTAATCAGGTGATGGGTATTAAGGAGGGCATTTTTTTAATTTTTAAAATTTATTTTCAGCGTAACAGTATTCATTGTTTTTGCACCACACCCAGTGCTCCATGCAATCTGTGCCCTCTCCAATACCCACCACCTGGTTCCCCCAACCTCCCACCCTCCACCCCTTCAAAACCCTCAGATTGTTTTTCAGAGTCCATAGTCTCTCATGGTTCACCTCCCCTTCCAATTTCCCTCAATTCCCTTCTCCTCTCTAACTCCCCTTGTCCTCCATGCTATTTGTTATGCTCCACAAATAAGTGAAACCATATGATAATTGACTCTCTCTGCTTGACTTATTTCACTCAGCATAATCTCTTCCAGTCCTGTCCATGTTGCTACAAAAGTTGGGTATTCATCCTTTCTGATGGAGGCATAATACTCCATAGTGTATATGGACCACATCTTCCTTATCCATTCATCCATTGAAGAGCATCTTGTTTCTTTCCACAGTTTGGCGACCGTGGCCATTGCTGCTATAAACATTGGGGTACAGATGGCCCTTCTTTTCACTACATCTGTATCTTTGGGGTAAGTACCCAGTAGTGCAATTGCAGGGTCATAGGGAAGCTCTATTTTTAATTTCTTGAGGAATCTCTGTTCTCCGAAGTGGCTGTACCAACTTGCATTCCCACCAACAGTGTAAGAGGGTTCCCCTTTCTCCACATCCCCTCCAACACATGTTGTTTCCGGTCTTGCTAATTTTGGCCATTCTAACTGGTGTAAGGTGGTATCTCAATGTGGTTTTAATTTGAATCTCCCTGATAGCTAGTGATGATGAACATTTTCCCATGTGTCTGATAGCCATTTGTATGTCTTCATTGGAGAAGTGTCTGTTCATATCTTCTGCCCATTTTTTGATATGATTGTCTGTTTTGTGTGTGTTGAGTTTGAGGAGTTCTTTATAGATCCTGGATATCAACCTTTTGTCTGTACTGTCATTTGCAAATATCTTCTCCCATTCCGTGGGTTGCCTCTTTGTATTGTTGACTGTTTCCTTTGCTGTGCAGAAGCTTTTGATTTTGATGAAGTCCCAAAAGTTCATTTTCGCTTTTGTTTCCTTTGCCTTTGGAGACATATCTTGAAAGAAGTTGCTGTGGCTGATATTGAAGAGGTTACTGCCTATGTTCTCCTCTAGGATTCTGATGGATTCCTGTCTCACGTTGAGGTCTTTTATCCATTTTGAGTTTATCTTTGTGTACAGTGTAAGAGAATGGTCGAGTTTCATTCTTCTACATATAGCTGTCTAGTTTTCCCAGCACCATTTATTGAAGAGACTGTCTTTTTTCCACTGTATAATTTTTCCTGTTTTGTCGAAGGAGGGCATGTTTTGTGATGAGCACTGGGTGTCATACGCAACTAATGAATTGCTGAATGCTAAAAAAAAAAAAAAAAGTGCAAAAAAGTATAATTGGATTTTATCCCCTCTGATTTATCCTCACTTTACTCATCTGTAAAGTAACAATAATAAGAAAACAAGAGAATCTTACTGATAGGATTGCTGTGATGATACAACTAAGTCAGTGGATTTTTTGTCCTCTGTAAGCATTCACTACATATTAGCTGTTAATAATAATGACAATTGCGCTGAGAATAACAAAAATAGTTTGAATAATAAAATAACAGGTAATTTCTTTGTGAGCTGAAGGCAAGGGCCTTAAAAAGGGTGGAGGCTGATCTGAGGGAGACGAAGGGCGTGCACAACAAGGCTCTTCCTTTTCATTCCTTCTGGCCATCCCTTCCTTTTCCCAGAGCCCTGGACCCTTGTGTCTACCAGAAATGCCTCATGCAAGGCAAAAAGGTCTGCTTCCTCTGAGCCTGATCAAATCCAGCTTCGGGGCGAGAGCGCTTCTCCAGGGAGCTTCCTCACCCCAGGGGCTTTCTTCTCTAGAGCAGCAGATCCTGTAAAATGGCTTCTTCCCTACCTCTCAGTTAATATCCTTGGTAAGAATTCTCCAGTGGGTAAGTCTGTGGGCTATAGAAGCAAGGCCGCAGGGGAGCAAAGGTTGGGAATGAAAAAGTCACCCACTGGACTTCCACCTCACACCTCACACAGCTTACAGCCTGGAGAGCACATTCATGTGTGTCACCAGGTACTTGGAACACAGTAAGTACTCATCAGTGTTAACCATTATCACAGATGTCTGGTACTTTACATATATCACATGATTTATCCTCCCAGCAAAGGTGTGAGATAGGTATTATCATCATTCCCATTTGGCAGATGGGGAAACTAAGGTTGTGTTACTTGCTCAAAATCACAGAGGTAGTGCCTCTCCCACTCCAAGTCCGTACTTTTATACTCTGTGTGGTTTTGCTGTTGTAACATATCTGACTGCTTTTCTCAATTTGTAGGGTGTCCAGTGGTTCTATTTCCCTTATTTTGCAGGTGAGAAAACAAGGATTGTTAAATAGCAGGCCCAAAGTAAAAATGCTGGTAAATAGCTTACCCAGAATTCTGCATCTAATCCAGTGTGGTTCTCATTCTGTGGGCTCAGTCTTGTTCTGCATTTGTGGTAAGAGCTTCAGAGTTGGATCATCCAGCAGATACAGATAATAGATGCATCCTAACTCCAATATATTCTTCTTGGGGCCTTGCGATAGAGAATAACCAGAGTTTTCTAACTCTCCATGAAGAGTAGAAGTGTGCAACATCGTGTCACACCCATGTAAGCAAATATTTAATTAGAAAGGCAAAACATGATTTCCACTGGGATGCTTAAATAGGAAAATACAGAATCATTTTGACTAGATCTCTGTAAACACAAGGAATTTTACTAAACTTATTTGATTACTGGGCTTCCATTTCAAAACAAAAATGGTGACTGACCAGCATCATCAGCCAAGTGATTCCAATACTATCCAGCCCGGCGGGTCACCTACCAGTTCAGTTTCCTTCCAACATTTAGAGTCACGGCAATTTTCATATTTAGTTACCAGTTGCGAGCCAAATGGCATTCTAACTTTCCTAGATGTACTCCTTGTCGACCGCACCAGAATGCAAGCAGGGGAGCATAAGTAGATTGGAATGTGGCTAAGACTGTGATATCACACTGTTCTCC